CATTGGCTTCGGTCGCCCACGGCACCGTTTCGGCCGCCCGCTGGATCTCCGCAATCAGCGACGCCTTCTGCTTCTGCAGATCGACCAGACTGACGGTCGACGCGTCGTTGTTCGAGTCGGAGTCGACTGCCGATTCCTGCTGGGTGCCTGGGGGCTCCAGGGGCGCCCCCACACCATCCCCATCCCCATCCATGTCGAGCTGCTGCTGGGCCTGGAGGCGGAACGCCTCAATCATGTGCTTCTTGTGGAACTTGTCCGAGTAGGGGGCGACGCGGTAGTATTTGTATTCCTGCAAAAAAGGGCGGCTTAGGCGGCCTGCTRGAGCCGGTGGGGCGGCTACTCACGTCCCTGAAGGGCTTTTCGAGCGGGACGTTGAAGCCGGGGTAGTCGACGATCTTGTCGGGGTCGAGGCTGGGCGCCGCCCGGTGGGCGGCGCGCTCCACGTGCCTGCCCTCGATGTCGAACATTTCCAGCTCGGAGTCGTCGCCCGTTTTGGCCTCCTCCAGCCAGCCGGGCGGGTAGCCGATGATGCGCATCTTGTAGATGAAACTGGGCAGTTGGCTCCTCTTGAGGCGCAGCGCTTTGCGCGCCCGCGCCGTCAGGGTCCCGGGCTTGAAGTGGCCGAACTTCGGGTCGACCGCGTCCCCCAAGTGGTAGCGCCTACAAAACCCCGGTTCACTCGGTTCAACTCGCAAACCCCAAAAAACACTCACGGGACTTTGGTCCTTTGCAGGAACTTCTGCCGGTTGGCATTGATGGTCTGGAAGTTCCTGGGGTGGGGGCAGCTGCGCAGATCGTGCGGCTCTGCGCAGTTGAAGCATGAGGCGGCCGCCCGCAGGCCGCTCTTCTGCTCCTCGGGCGGCTCCTGGTGGATCTGCAGCTTGCTCGACTGGTAGCGGAGCGCCGGCGGCCTCTGGTGGGCGGGCGAGGGCGTCGCGTCCACCACAAACAGCCCCTCCGTCTCGGAGGGGCGCTTCTTCTTGCGGCGCTTCTTGGGCTTGGCGGCTGCGCCCCCTTCCACGCTGTACACATGCAGCGTCAAACCGTCCACGCGTTCCACCTCCAACTCGGGCTGGCCGGCCAGAAACTCGCCGAAGGCCTGCTGGTACCGATCGGCCGCCGCCTGGTTGCAGAATTTCACGCTGATCTGCACAGCTTTGCCCGCTGGCGGATCGTCGTTCACTTCGCCCTCCTCCAGAGCGGCAGTGGCCCCGTCCTGGGCCAGATCGACCGCAGCCCCATTGAGCTCCACCGGGGCCTCGTCGGTCTCAAAAGAGTCGACCACCAGGAAGACTTCTGATGGCTCTGGAAAACCCGCAGTTAGCCCAAAGGGACTTTCAAGGGGGGGGGGCAATTGCACTCACCTTCAACTAGGCGGCAGTCCGCAGCGCTGGAATCATCGGAAATCTCCTGAATCTGCTCCCCAGGGGGGGAGCCCCCGGGGTCAGCGACTTTGAGGTTAGGTGCCGGCCTGGCGGCTTCCGATGTCCGCGGCAGCTTAATGGGGGGCTCCGCCCCCTCGGGCGACTGGTTCGCCTCCTCGGGCGACAGGTCCGCCTCACTCACCTCGAAAACCTGCCCCAACTCGGCGCTTTTTCGCTTTCTTTGCAGCCGATCCTCGGACGCCATCTTGTCAACTGCACTGTTTTGACGGACGACAGCCGCCAGCTCCCAAGCTGGCACCTGGCAACGCCGCCCTGGAAGCCC